TTTAACTTTTTAATATATAAATTATTAAAGTTCAGGTTTGTTATATTTAACTTTTCGCTGATTGTCAATTGATAGTTATCTATTTTATTAGTTTAAATAAATCAATTTTTTATGAATTTAACTAATTATATTTTACCTTAGCTTATAATTATTTTTCTAGAGAATTCTTTAATTAAATTTTAGCATCATCATCGTTTAAACTTTAAAATTAAAAGTTATAATTTTAGCAAATAAAATTTTAATCAATCAAAAATTTTTAAAGAAATAAATAATTAATTTATAATTTTAAGATTATAACAAAGAATTTTTAATTATTTCTGAAAAATTATTTAAAATTATTTTGTGTTTTTATAAATATAATTTTATTTTAAATAAATCTAGTAAAGATAAAAAAAGGTAATTATGCTTAAGTTTTTTTTGTATTTTAGTTGTGTTGTGATGAGTAAGTAAAAAAATTTGTTATATTTTATTTGGTTAGTAAATAAATAAATAAGCAAGTTAGTAAATGACAAGTTGGCTTAATTAGCTAATAACTAAGTCAAAAGCTTAAAATAATCAATATTTAGTTTATCAATCAATCAATTAAATTTTTACTTTAAATCGAGCGTCAAAGTTGTGATATTCTTGCACTAGGCTATTCCTGTGCCTAAATCTTTTGCACCCCCATCACCAATATTGTTCCAACTTGAAATATAAGAATAAATAACGAATTAAATAAATATGGAGGAGAAAGGATGGTAAAAAACTATGGCTTTCGTTAGTATTTTAGTTGTGTTGTGATGAGTAAGTAAAGAAATTCGTTATATTTTATTTGGTTAGTAAATAAATAAATAAGCAAGTTAGTAAATGACAAGCTGGCTTAATTAGCTAATAACTAAGTCAAAAGCTTAAAATAATCAATATTTAGTTTATCAATCAATCAATTAAATTTTTACATTAAGTTAAGTGTCAAAGTTGTGATATTCTTGCACTAGGCTATTCCTGTGCCTAAATCTTTTGCACCCTCTGCACCAATTTTATTCTCTCTTGAAATATAAGAATAAATAACGAATTAAATAAATATGGAGGAGAAAGGATGGTAAAAAACTATGGCTTTCGTTAGTATTTTAGTTGTGTTGTGATGAGTAAGTAAAGAAATTCGTTATATTTTATTTGGTTAGTAAATAAATAAATAAAAAAGTTAGTAAATGACAAGCACAAAATTGTCAATTAGTTCTAAAAAAAAGTTTTCTTACAAATTTTAATTTATTTTTAATTAGTGGGCAAAATTTTATAAATTAATCAAAATTTTATACTAATTTTTAACTATGCCATTTTTTTGCATTTACAATATTTTTCAATCTTTACTTACCACCTCAATAGATTTTAATAATAAACAAAATGATAAAGTTTATTTTTTATTGTAAATTGTAATAATTGATAAGAATTTATCTTTAATTTTTTATAGAAAGGAAGTATCCATCATCAATGATTAAAATTAAATATTTCTTAATTTCTATAAAAAGTATGAACTGTTAATCAAGTCTTGTATTTGAATTCTTAAATGGTAATCTGTTGATATTTTATTTACAATTTAAATTAATTTTAATATAATTACGATAAATCTATTTCGACAACTTGAAATTCTGTAATTTTATGTAAGTCATTCATCCTATTTATCTTTATTTACTTGATGTCTTAAATAGGAATCTAATTTTAAGAAATTAACGGTGCAACAGATCCGATATTTACAGTCTCAACATTTTATATAGGACCTAAATAATGCTTTGATAAAATTGATTTCATCTTATTTTAGTTTGATTTGAATTAGTTTGTATTTTATTCAACAATAGTAGAAAGAGAAGCTCTGTTTACTCTTTCCCAGACAACTAAGAGTTTAATAAATTCAAATATTTCAGTGTTTCGCTTAATATTTATGTTTTAGAATGGCTCATTATATTATTCAAAAGCCATACTTGGGAATGTAATTCCTACTATTTCATTCAAAATTAAGTAATTGTCAAGCAAAGATAATAGTAATCCAACTGAGTAAGAATCAGACTGAAAAAAAAAAAATTATTATATTTATTTATAATTAACTATAACAATAATTACTTTTTTAGAATATATTTTATTTTAATCATCTTCTTTAGCTATAATTTCAGGTGCACTGTACGTCATATTTCCTACCATCTAAAAATATATTAAAATCTCTTGATTTTTACATAGTAACTAAAAAGTTTACACATTATACTTCAATTTATTCACAATCTTTTCCAAGTTAAACTGATAATCCAAAATCGCCTAATATTAAAATGATTAACTTATTTTTAAAAATTAAAAAATATCAGTGTTAATTACACAGTTTGATTTCAAGTTGATTGCCATCCAAACAAACCAAAAAATTTTCAGGTTTAATATCTCTATGAATAATATTGAAACAATGAATATAATTGACAGAGTCAATTATTTAGAGTGCAATATTCAGTTTTTATTCATCACTAAATTCTCCTTCTTTTGTTTATCTTTCGAGATAATCTTAGAGTGAACCTTTTTTACAATAAATGATATAATAAAATTATTATAAATATAAAAACCTCAATAATAAATGCATAATTTATCACTTATTATTAATATGCTACTAAAATACTTTAAGTGGTGTATTTAAAATTAAGATTTAATTTAATAAAAAACTAAAATAAAAATTTTATAAATTGAAATATAAAAATTTACATGAACACTTTTCTAATTCGAAAACTACATATTTTTCAGGTGCTGTAGCTTTTTCTATGACATAATGGTCATATAGCTAGACTACTAATGGAGTTTTCAACTATTACATTATTCTAATTTCATTTTAAATTTCTTAATCATTTACAATCTTTTGTATTTTTAATGCTATTTCCTTGTTGTTCAAGTTAACTTTTTTAGTAGATAATACCATACCAAAGCTTCCAAAATTAAGAATTTGGAAATTATTTACATATTTATTATTTTCAAATAGACTTTGTAATAGTTTAGATAGTATTTCTTTATTTACAAATTGTTTTTCAGTATCTTTTTTCTTTATTTTTTAATCTGTGTTATCAAGCAATATCTGTGCCTATTTTTCAAATTAAATTTGCTTAGAAAAAAAATTATTATCAAACTTAAAATTAATAATTTAGAATGTAAAAAATTAATATGATTATGTTTTTACCATATATTATGATTACTACGGAATTTGTTCCTATCATTAAAAAAATAATAGTTAATATTTGTTGTCTAAACTTATATTTAATATATTTTTAATATTTTAAAAACTATTCACAGATATTTAATGTAATATATTATCTTTTAATTGTTTTTTAATGGAAAATTATTTATAATAATAATGATAAATGCATTTATTACTTTTAATATCATAGACCTGAGTATGAATTTCAGTGGTTATCCATGAAGATTAATAAGCTCATAAAGTAGGTCTCCTGAACTTTTCCTTTCTAAATAATTTGGTTTTAAGCAAATCTCAGCTATTTTATAAATATTAGACTTTCTATCAATCTAATATTTCGAAGCTATTGCTTTTCCTTTATGAATTTCTGCCTTTGTATCCAAGTCAATCCAATTATCATTTAGCACATTCAGATTATCTAGCTCAAGTAAAACTAGTCCTAGAGAAAAGATGTCCGACTTTTAAACATTAAAATTAAATTAATAATTTAAAGATTAGTTTTATTTAAAAACCTGAATTCTGGATTATCCCTTTTCTACCTCAGGAGCGAAGTAAGCATCAGTTCCTTTCTATAGATTAAAATAATGTAAGATTAATTTTAAATAATATTTCGATGTTCACCTTTGATAGGTAATGGCTTTTCGATTTTGTTACTGTAGATGCAAAACCTAAATCACCTTTAGTTTTAATAATTTTTTAAATTGATAAATTTTGTGATAATTAAAATTTTTTACAGAGCTTGATGGTAAATCCATAAGTTTGAGAAGGGGAAACTAGGTAATTGTGAGGTTTGATATCCCCTGTGCCATGATATTTTTC